GGGCCAGCATGTGTCCGGGGATATAAATGCCAGCTGCGTCCCGGTACGTGCATCGTATCCGTATTCCTTGAGAGCGTGTAAGTCGTCTCCGTGGTCGCAGTGCAAGTACGCTAACGACTGCGAACCTGAGTTTACAAAAAGACGATGGCGCGGCACCCCGTGGACTGTCCGGGTCTGGATGCTGACTGTCTCGAACCGTCGATCCAGCAGCGGGCGACGAAAGAGCTCGCAGAGGGGGCACCTTCGCAGGAGCAATCTTGTCGAGACGGGCTGGGGGGCAGCTTTGGGGGCCCCCTCGCACCGCGGCGGGCGTCGGCTGTCAACCATAGCCATGGAACCTCGTCCATCTGAGAAAGTAGTATAGACCAAGGCACACCGTCTTCTGGACGATCCGATTTATCTTCTCATCGGCACGAGGCGAGCAAGTGCATCTACAAGTTCGTTCAGTGGATACGCAGCGTGACCTGAAACATGCAACCATGTTATCACAGTGCGTACTCGAGCCATATATACCAGGGAATTTAACAGGATGCGCAAAACACCGCAAGACTAGAATAGCACACCTTCTGCAGCAGCTTCTACCACCATCATGTTATCCGACCGAACAAGAATGCGCCTCGAGCGATATATCGAAGGCGCCTGATGGAGCCAACAAACAAGCCAAAGAGCAGCATGGAACTCGGCGGGGCTCGACGGCCCCACCTACTCCTCGTTAAGTGCTGGGGCGGATCCAGCCATGCAACCACCCATCCGATGTTTGCCGCCAAGCGTCACGCCACACACAGCAAACGCCCATGATGGTGGCTCCTTCGTGTCCGCACTGTCTGACCCTCCCGATCCGCCTGTGCACACTACAAAATGATCTATGTCATTGTCGTGAACATCATTAGGGCAGACATGCTGTGCCAGGGAAACAACGGCACTAGAATGGAGACGATGGCGAAAGAGGCATGGCACAGGATGTTGCGTGGATGGCGGCGCCACGAAAATGGGAGAGAGCAATGCGCCTTGCCGCTGGGCCGCGAGCAACGCTGCTAAATTGCCGCAATCGGGAGCTGGACGGGCGGCACATTCAAAATGAGAGACGGGGCCGGGTGCCCCGGCAGAGCCGCGGCGCTGAGTCCACGAGGGCTGACCCCCACTGGCGCCCAGCGACCCTGCAGGCTGGCCCACCCGTTGCCCTTGTGCGACGGGCTCGCCTGCGTCGCGTCGATATCTTCCTCCGCGCTCTGGTCAGCGCGAACCTCCTCCGCGTTCGTGCGGCGCGGGCTGCGGCCACGGCTTCCGGCCCCTGCTGGCCCCTCTCTCCCCGCGGGTCCGGGTCGCTCCTCGCCCGGCACCACGCGTGGGAGCACGCCTCCCGGTAGCATCACTGAACCCGACCCTGCGATGACTGCCTCGAGGGTGGGCTGCCCAGCAGCCGCCAGGCCCTGGGCCTGCAGGGCTGCCTTCTCGCCCGCTGCTGCCTTCGCGCGAGCCTCGGCAGCAGCGCGAGCACGCGCCCGGCGAGCCGCCTTGCGCTCGCCCCGCGCAGCCCGACTGGCAGCGGCTGCGGCGTTGGCCTCCTGCTGCGCGCCATCACCCCTGTCGGCGTCCGCCGCATCAGTCGCCGCCCGCGCCTGGAGCTGAGCTGCCGCCATAGCAGGACTTGCCGCGGCAGGGGGCTGCGCGGCAGCGGCCTGTGGAACTGCGGCGCCGCGCTGCGTGGGCTGCGCAGTCGGGGCAGGATTGGCATCAGCAGCTGGCTGCGTGGCTGGAGTCGTCGCAGCAGTGGTCGCCGCCGCGCTCGCCGCCGCCGCGACCTGCGTCAGCGCCGACTGCAGTCCGCCCGGGGCCGCGGCCAGCCCCGCGATCGGCCGTGCCATGCTCACCTGGCCCTGCTGGACCTCGGCGACGGCTGCGACCGAGGCGCTTGACATCTGGGCGGGCGCCGTCGCCACGGGCACGGCGGGCGCCGCGCCCCCCGCCACCGGCGTTGCGGCGCCCTGCAACTCGACATCATTGGCGGCGGCTGGCAGCGGGAGGAGGGTCTCGAGCTGCTGAAGCAAGACCTGTGCACGGGTCAGCTCGTTGGCACGATGCTGCTGGACCAGCTGGCGGGCCTTGTGCTCCATCATGGCCTCATGCGCCGCCTTCTCCGCACGTTCGGAGCGGCGTTGGGCCCGCTCGACGAACGCCCGCTGCCTCGCAAGGCGCACCTCAGGGGCCCTGGCCACGATGATCATCGTCATCAGGACTGAGTATTCCTGCCCCCGCGCCTCCAGGATGCTGGTCGGCAGGCCGAGCTCGCAGGACGCCCGAAGCATCTTTGCCGACGCCACTGCCATGCGGCGGAGGTTGCGCCTACGGGTGGCCAAGGCAGCAGGGTCCGTCGGTGGCTGCACCCAGGCCGGGTGCGCACGCGCCTGCTCTGGCATTGCAGGGAGCACCCCGAGCGCCTCCTGCGGGCCTGTTGGACGATCCGCCGTCTCCTCAATCGACTAGGGCTCACTCTCATCGAACGCGACGTCAGTCGCTGGCGAGCGACGGCGGGATGACCGGCGTCGGGAGGGCACCTCTAGTGCTGGTTCCTGCGCAGGCTCGCCATCTCGCTGCTGGGGCTGGGGCGGCGGCGGAGCACGGCTGGGGCTGCGCTGACGACGAGCACTGCTGTGCGCCAGCCTTGAGGTACGCCTCCGCCGACGCTGGTCGCGTCCAATTCCTCCGTGCTGATCTCGCCCGCTGCCCGCTGCTGATGCTGCTGCTGGTGCTGCTGCTGCCCGCTGCCTGCATGCTGCTGCTGGCGCTGCGGCTGATCGCGGAACACGCTCAACGCCGCGGGACTCTGCTGCGGGAGCGGGTAGCAGGTCCTGCACATCATGTCACTGGCGGCGTTGGCGCGCCCGCATGCTGGACACCACCACGGCGGGGGCGGCGGGGACGGCGGGGACTGACCGCCCTTTCCTCCGCCCTTGCCTCTGGCCTGCCACGCCATCGCGCTGTGGTGCGTCGCCAAGCACCTCGCCGCACTCGCTACGCGAATAACAACTCGAGCTTGAGCGCGCTGAGCACGAGCACGCCTGTGCCACGCCGGCTCGCTGCCGCCGCCGCTGGGGTGCTGGCGCGGCGTCCCGCCAGCAGGAGGGCGCCGCCGCGAGCAGCGCGAGAGGCACGCCAGGAGCAGGCCCGCCGCGAGCAGCGCGAGAGGCGGCGCGGCGGGGCCCGCGCGCCCGAGGCGCGGGCGCGGGCCGGCGCGCGTGGCTGCCCGCCCCGAAAGAGGTTCGCCGCACCTGGTGAGTAGGGCGCCCGAAACCTCTCGAACCGGGGGGCCAGCTGAGGAAGAAGGAGGGAGAGAGGAAGGGGCAAGCTGAACGCGCGCGCGCCATATGCGACATATTTTCCATCCTTCCCATCACTTCACATTGCGCGGATGATGCTCTATCCGCGGACGCGTGTCATAGCCGACCTGAAACTCCAACCGAAAAACCCCATCGTGCTACGCGCTATCGACGAAGAGGTACTGCGCACACAGGAGGAGGTGGTGGCGGGTGGGCAGAAGGATGAGCAGGAGGACAAGAAGGAGAAGGAGGAGGAGGAGGAGGCGGAGGAAAAAGGGGAGGAGGAGGAGGAGGAGGAGGAGGAGGAGGAGGAGGACAAAGAGGAGGAAGGAGGAGGAGGAGGAGGAGGAGGAGGGAGGACGACAGAGAACAGCAGCAGCAGCAGCAGGAACTTGAGTGGAAAGGGCGGGAGGAGCAGGAGGACCACGAGAAGGCGGAGGACACGGCTCCAGAAAAGCGGCCCGCGCCAGGGCCAGAGCGCCAGTCTGAACGGCGGGGGCGAAGCGCCGATCCGAAAATGAGGCACACGCTGCTGCAGGGGGTCCATGTTGAAACACCGACATCAAGTGGATTGCACCAAAAAGAAAGGGAAACTACATAATTATTACATGTGTATAACAACAACAACAGCAACAACAACAACAACGACAACAACAACAACAACAACAACAACAACAACAATAACAACAACTACAACAACAACAATAATAATACTAGTAATAATAATATAAAATTTAAAAATAAAAAATATAAACATAAATATATACATATATATATATATATATAAAAATGATAGTCAGCGTGGACCCCACACACACAGTTTCTGGCAACCTGTGGCGTGCGATACACCTTGTGCAATCTGTGTGTTGCTATATAGATGTGGTGCAGTCCCTGTTGCGCAGCTGTGCTGTGCAACCTGCCTTATCAGGACAGCCCGAGATCGATGCTCGAAGCTCGAGGTTTGAAGAGGCCCTCGACGTCTGGGTGTCTTTTGTAGCTGGCGGGTGCATCCAGAAGGCTCCTCTGGCTACCCACCGAGCCACCGCAACCCAACCAGAACTCGCCGTTGGCCGTTGGGCCTGCCAGCCTCCAATGGGGGGCCTTGCCGCCATCCGCTTGCTCGCGTGCCGCCGCGGCGGGCGGCGGCACCCGCGACGCGCTGCGCCCTGCAAGCGGACAGCGTGGTCGCTCCGATCCACGGGGCGGGAGGCTCGGAAAGGCTCGGGACGTTGACGCACGGGGACCAGGAAATGGATGACTGCGGGGCTGGAAAATGACCACAGCCACTGCTTCTTGTTCGCGCCGCCTTCCAGCCGGCCGAAGAAGAAGCAGTGGTTGTGGTCATTTCCCTGGTGCCAAGCTCAACGAAAATGCCCACAACCACTGCTTTGTTTCTGCGGGCTGGAAGGCGGCAACAAAAGAAAAGCAGTGGCTGTGGTCGTTTTCACGCCCCGTAATAACGTGTCGCGCCGAGGCGTGGTGGGCTAGAACCGTCGGAGCGACACGCTGAGCCGAAGTTCCTGACCGCACGACGGCCACAATGAAGGGGAACTGGGACACACAAATAAATACACACAAATAAACATATTCCCAATATTTTCTCATATTTTCTGGGTTTCTGTCTTCCCCCCCACTTCCCATATTTTCCCTTATTTTCTGGGGAATCGACGATGAATTGTGTCTGTGTGTTTTTTCTCCTCCTGACACAAGGTAGCCAAAGCTCGAGGCTCGAGGCTCGAGGCGCGAGGCGCGCGCCTGCACTCGCTGGAGCCAAACATGTCTACAGGGGGGCCTGCTGTGCTGGTCTGGCGTGCTCCTGTGGACTGCCGTGCTGGTCTGCCGTGCTGGTCTGCCGTGCTGGTCTGCAGTGCTGGTCTGCCGTGCTGGTCTGCCGCGCCGCTTAAAACAGGGCTAGGATCGGGATAAATCGCTCCAGAGCGTTCCGGAGCGCTCTCAGAGCGTTCCGGAACGCTCTGGAGCGGCCGCGGCGACCAATACATCCTCCAAGCCCGCCGATTCTCAGAGATTTCGAGTTATCCCGATCCGATTTTGTCCCGATCTTCGCGTCGTTCTACCGCTGTGGTCCGCCGTGCTAATTTGCAATGCTTAGGGTGTCTGACATTCTGGCTTGCCCTGGCGCCCGCCTCTGGTCCTTGCTGTTTCTCCCGCACCCGGCGGCCCGAAAATCAGCACCTGGCGGACATCGCGCCTCTAAAAATACTCGGACCGCACCCTGGACAGAGCAGGGCTGCCTCAATTCGTGATAATGCTGGCCGTGTTGATCTTGGGCATGAACTTGTTGCCGTCCGGCGGCGCCTTGTCGTCCGTGGGGTTGGCCTGGCCGGGCTGGCGGAACTCCCGCTTCTTGTAGCCGGGCCTGGCCTTCACGTCCAGCATTGTCTCTGCGCGGCCCAGGAAGCCGCTCGCGAACGCCCCCGCGAAGATGACGCCGACCGGGGCGAGGGCGACGAGGGCCCAAACGGCGTTCCAGCTGAGGAAAGACACTCCTGTCGGCGAGACGCAAGACTCGGGTTCGGGGGCCTCGGGTGGGTCTGACGGGGACATCCTGAAAATGACGCGACCCAGCCTGAAATTTGACGCGAGCTCCCGCTGCAGACATCCCACGAAAATTGGAACGTCAAAATCCTGGACGCGCTCGTCAAAGAGCGTCGGCAAACCCGCGTTCCGCCGCACTCGAGTCTCACGTTTCCCCGATCATACAGTCGGACCTAAGACGGAAGAACATCCTTAAAGAACATGAAACCCTCCGCCGGCCAAAAAGAAGAGCATTCGAGGGTACCCACCCCAAGGATGCACAAAAACATCCAACAAGCACGAAGAACATCAGGCCCCCCCCCCTGAACCGACCTCGATCTCATACCTCGGTCCGACCGTACTCGCGCCCTACGCTTTCCCGATCCCACGAGGACGCCGACTGCACCACCGACACCGCCCTGGGCCGGGCCGACCCGTTGTGCCCAGGGTCGGCGTCCGTGAGCCCTCGGCGGCCTGGCGCCAGGGCCCTCGGCGGCCTGGGCGCCGTGCGCACCGACCCTGGGCCCGAGAGGTCGGCCGGGCCAGTACCGGCGCACCCTTAAGATCCGACGCGGAGCAAGAGCTGCAGCACCGCTGCTGGGTGGGCACAGATCCAGACCCAGCCTGTGGAAGCGACGTCCGGGGACCCGAGCGGGCGTGGGTATGGGCATCTTTGGGCCCCAGGTCGGGCGTTGGCAGACCTGGGCGTAGTGAAACCTGGTTCGGTGATTTGCACCGGGGGCGCCCCCCCCCCGCCCCAATGTCAACAAACCGGAGAGCTGCCGTCACCCGAAAGACACCAGTTACAGAATCTCTGGTTCAGGGAATCTGGCCACTTGAGGGGCCCCTTACCTGGGGCCCCCTTACCTGGGGTCCCCTTACCTGGGGCCCTACCACTGACCGGGTCCCCTCACCTGGGGCCCTGGCCATCCCCGACCAGGGGGGGGGCCCGAGGATATCCACAGCCACGTCGAGGTATCCGAGGATCGATCCTCCCAGGCGGTGGTCACGCACAGACCCCCGCCGAGGAGAGCCGCGAGGAGTCGCGGCCAGGGCCCCAGGACGCCCCGTCGTCCCTCTCGAGCCGCGCAGCGCTCCGTGGATGGCCCCTGGGCCCAGAGAGCCGGGCGAGAGCGCGCTCCACTGCTGTGAAAGGGGCCCCAGGACACACACACACACACACACACATCTATATATATATATATATATACATACATGCATACATACATACATACATACATACATACATACATACAAACATACATACATACATACATACATACATACATACATACATACATACATACATACATACATACATACATTCATACACATACATACATACATACATACATACATACATACATACATACATACATACATACATACATACATACATACGTACGTACATACATACATACATACATACATACATACATACATACATACATACATACATACATACAAATTAAAACATTCCCCATAGTTGCCCATATTTTGGGGCTTTTGCCCTCCCCTCCACTTCCCATATTTTCCCCTATTTTCTGGGGAATCGACGATGAATTGTGTCTGTGTGTTTTTCCCCTCCTGATACTCGCAAAGCCACCACTCGCAAATGGCCCGGACCCCCCGCGGGGGATCTGCGACAGATGACATCAAAGAAAGCAGCCACGTGCTCCTCGGACGTCTGCGAGCAGGCACTCTGTGCGAGTATAGGCACGAACGCTCGGCGAGGGCCGCCGGGCGATAGAGCGCCCGGCGGTGCGGCACAGCTGCGACGCCCGGGCCTCTGGGCGTGCGGTCGGTCGGTATAACTCTGTGGGCTTCCGCGGAATCGCGGCGGCGGCGTACGGCGGCACGCCGCGCCCTGCCGCGCCGGGCGGCGTGCGCCGCTCAGAGAGCACCGGCGCGGCGGGGAGCACCGGGCCTCCGAGGGCTCGGGGCGCAGACGCGTGGCGCAGACGCGCGGCGCGCCGAGGCGCGGCGCAGACGCGCGGCGCGCCGAGGCGTGGCTGGGGCAACGAAGAGGTGCCGATGGTCCCAGACGTGGGGAGGCAACTGCTGGGAGGGCTTCGTCGGAAAGATGGAGGAGGAGCAAGCCCCACTTGGGAGCTACTGCGCTGGAGTGGGCCTCGGCTTAGGCGGGATCGAGCCGGATCAAGCGGGATGAAGCGGGATTCAGCGGGCCTCAGCCGGATTTCGGACCAGTGCAAAATCAGAATTGACCTCCGAGGAGTTGCATCCCAATACACGGCCACCCTTCGGGTGAAAAGGAGGTGGGGAGGGGGGGGAAGAACGGACTGCTGGCAAGTGCGATGGGTGTGATGATGGCAATGCCTGTGACGCGCCCTCGAGTCAGCGGCAACGCGTAATGAAGAGGACGCGCTGCGATGCGATGTCACTATCGCCTCCACCTGCGATACCACTCAATCGATCCCACTATCGACTTCGCAGCCAGTCTTGGCACTAACGGATTCAACGATCCATCCCACTATCGATCCCACTAGCGATCTCACTATCGATTCCTCGATCGATCTCACCATCGATCTCACTACCGATATCACAACCAGTGTCACAATCAACCTCACTGTCGATCTCACTTTTGACCTTACTAGTCATCCCATTCTAGCGCGATCCCCTCATCGATCTCACGATCGACCCCACTGTGGATACCAAGGCGGGACACCCCCGGCCACCTCCCGCCCACCGCCGACGGCACACCGACGGGACACCAACGGGACACCACGGCGGGACACCAACGGCAGGACACCCCGAGCCACCGCGCGCCCCCCGGGGGCGGAGGGGCCGTCCAGCGCCTCCGCTTCGTCCCCCGCGACGGCGGGGTCGGTCCTCCCGCGCGCCCACGCAGCTTCGCCTCGCCCGCGCGCACGACCCGAACACGGGTAACCGAAGCCGATTTTTCCCGCTGGGGGGGGCCCTCCCTTCCACTGCGGTCTTCCCCCCCAAGCCTCCGGCTGTGCGCCCCCCTTGGAGGCGCGCACGCCCGAGCAGAACGTACAGTGCACAAATGTGCGCGCAGCTCGTGGCCCGGGCGGTGTGGCCGAAGAGCGCCCGCCACGGAGCCGACGCACACGTAGTATGACCATGTTCCGGCGATGTCGAACCAATACCACTGCTCCCTGGACCTCTCGCGGGGTGCACTCTGGCCACATGGGCGCTTCCACAAAGGCAGGGGGCGGCGGAGGTTCGCCGCAGGCGTCTTCGATCCGCCGCCCCCTGTTGATTCATCAAAGGGGTGCCTGGCGTGTTAAATCCTCTCGGTTTGGGTTTTGGTTCGTTTTCCAAAAGAACTCCCCCTGGGGCTCCGGCGCGTCCCGCCGGCCACCCGGAAAGGATCTCAAAGAGCTCAATCTGGGAAAAAATCCTCCAAGATGGTTCAAGATGGCCTCCAAGATGACCAGAATCTCAGGGCGAATCCAGCCGTGGCGACGAGGGCCTCTCAGGAGGCCAACGGAGACGAAACCCAGAGACGAGTAGCGTACAGGTGCCTTCTCCTCCTCGGAGTGGTGGGCCAGAACCGGCGGGCGACACGCTGAGCCAGATTTCCCGACCAGTTTGGTGGTGTCTAAGAGGGGGGCGTCTAAGAGGGGCCCTCGCAAATCATGGCCGGAGCCATGCGCGCGGGCGAGGCTGGGAGTAGGAGACGCACTGAAAGCAGAACGGGTGGCCATGAAATCTGGGGAGATCTCACGGCCGCGGTCATACTGCGTATCCGCCACCCCCTATCAAGGGGACGTCAAGAAGGAGTAGGGGCAGAGGTGGTGTTGGGAAGGATATCGCTCTAAACAGCTAGCGGAAAGAGGGAAGTGTGAGCATCCAGCTGGGTGCGTTCCTTGACCCCACCTTGGGCCTTGGGATCACCCCCCTCTACGACCCCCCCTCCCCTGGTCATCGGCCGGCACACTGCATGTGGACTATGTTTTAACTATTTGTGGGGTACTTATTATGTTTCGTCGAACATGCCCCTGTAGGGGAACAGGCCCGACGTAACCATGGCAATCCTTACCCCCCCCGTTCGAAAGAAGCTCGGACCTCCGGTTTCCTCTTACCGACGATTGGGCTGCTCAGGCTTGCCCTTGCCCCACGGGCATTCCCCTCTGCCCCGCCGCCCCAGGACCACAGGTCGCGTCCGCTGCCCCTCGGCGAGGCTCGATCCCCAGCCATGCTTGAAGGGGCCAAGGGACACAAACAGCTACGCACAGATCCCAGGATCCCACACAAGTCTCGTCTCCGGGATGCTCGTCTTCCCTCCACTTCCCATGCTTTCCATATCTTCCTGGGCATCGACGATTATTTGTGTCTGTGTTTTTGTTCCCTCGCCTGATCCCAAGGCTTTGCCTCCTCCCGGCCTCGCCCTGAGGCTGGGCTATCCCCCCTTCCTCCCCCTCTTTGTTAATTCAAGCTTCGCGCGGCCCGTTTGGCTTCGACCGGAAGAGGTGCGCTCTCGACCCGCGAATCAAAAAAGTGTTTTTGAAGGGGCCCCAGGACACACAAATAAATACACACAAATAAAAGGATCCCCCATATGTCCACCTATTTTCTGGGTTTTTGTCTTCCCGCACAGTTCCCATATTTTTCCACATTTTCCTGGGAATCGACGATTCATTGTGTCTGTTTGTTTTTTTCCCCTCCTGAGTTTGTGCTCCCTCCCGAATGCTATCTGCCCTGGGCCCCACGGGGGGTCGGGGCCCCAAAACGGATCGGGGGGACGGCGTGGGGCCGAAGCCGAGACCGGGGCCCCGAGAGCCGGGGCCATAGGGCTGGCCCCAGGAGTGCTGAGCCGATGTTCCACCACAACTACCATAGGTAGGAGGAGGAGGAGGAGGAGGAGGAGGAGGAGGAGGAGGAGGAGGAGGAGGAGGAGGAGGGAGGAGGGAGGAGGAGGAGGAGGAGGAGGAGGAGGAGGAGGAGGAGGAGGAGGAGGAGGAGGAGGAGGAGGAGGGAGGAGGGAGGAGGGAGGAGGAGGGAGGAGAAAGAGGAGGAGGAGGAGGAGCAAGGAGGAGGAGGAGGAGGGAGGAGGAGGAGGACGAGGAGGGAGGAGGGAGGAGGGAGGGGGAGGAGGAGGGAGGAGAAAGAGGAGGAGGAGGAGGAGGAGGAGCAAGGAGGAGGAGGAGGAGGAGGAGGAGGAGGAGGAGGAGGAGGAGGTCCCCATCCTCCCTTCCGCCGCCCTGGCCATGGTAGCGGTGGTGGAACATTTGCCCACCGCGGGAGCACGACCGGAGCCAGAGCCTGCGCCGAGGCCGGGGCCGAGGCCCGAGCCAAGGCCGAAGCCCGAGCCGCAGCCCGGGCCCCCGTTGGCCGCCCCCGGCCGGAGAGGCGCTTCGCCGACGAGGGCGCCCCGCCGGGGCTCCCAGCGCGCCGCCCTCGCCGCCGAGGGTGGCCGCCGCGAGCGCCTCCGAGGGCGCTCCCGCGAGGGCTGCGGCGGCCAGGGCGGGGCTCGCCTCGGCCGGGGCGGCCGGCGCCTGCCGCGCGGCCCGCGGGGCGCCCAGGAAGGCGACGCCACCGAGCAGCGCGGCGGCCGCGAGCAGCAGCGAGAGCAGGGGCCTCCGCAGCAGAGCGGCCGTGGCTGGCGGCGCGCAGAGGGGGGGGAAGGGGGGGAGGGGGGAAGGCTTCTGAGAAGCAGGGGCGCTTCCGAGAAGCTTTCCCCCCCTCCCCCCTACGCCCCCTTCTGCGCGCGGCTGGTGGGCGACGAGGGCGAGGAGGAGGAGGCGAGCAGAGAGGGGGGAGCAAACGACGAGGCGCCAGGGCAGAGGACACCTTGGGCACAGGGCCTCCGCTGCGGAGCGGCCATCGGAGCGCCGTCTGTAGATGTTTTGGTTACACGCAAGAGTGACCCTGCAAAGGAATGACCTGTGGCGCGATGCTCACTGGGGGGGGCGCGGGGGGGCCAAACCCAGGCGCGCGAGCCGATGCTGCCGCTTCGCGCTCAGCGATCAGGGGAACCCGTGGGGCCCGCACCAAAGGTCACTCCGGCGAAAGGCCACTCCTGGGAGACCTTACTGGGCCTCGGGACAATCAGACAACAACTCAGGATGAAAAAAAGCGGTCCCCGGGAACGGGTCGAGACCCCATGCGGGCCGACGCTACGAAAAAATCATGACGTCGGGGGTCCAGGATTGGAGTGCGGTCTCGTGCTGTTCGCGATAACGCCCGTGAACAGCCCCGGCCTCAACCTCCCCCCCTCGTCCTCCTCCTCCTCCTCCTCCTCCTCCTCCTACTCCTCCCTCCTCCTCCTCCTCCTCCCTCCTCTCCTCCTCCTCCTCCTCCTCCTCCTCCTCCTCCTCCTACCTCCCTCCTCCTCCCTCCTCCTCCTCCTCCTCCCTCCTCCTCCTCCTCCTCCTCCTCCCTCCTCCTCCTCCTCCTCCTCCTCCTCCTCCTCCTCCTCCCCCTCGGCACGCCACGCTTCGCGCCGCCGGGCAGGGCGGCAGCCGCGAGCAGCAGGGAAAGACCAGCGCCTCCGCGGGCCCGCTGGGAACCACACGGGGCTCCGTGCTGTGCAGCAGGGCAGGGACAGCCCCGCACCCGCCCGCAGGACTCGGACAACGACGACGACGACGACGACGACGACGACGACGACGACGACGACGACGACGACGACGACGACGACGACGACGACGACGACGACGATGAGTCGAGCACAGAAGGGGGGGGGGGAACGAACGACGAGGCAACCGGGGCCTCCGCAGCGGGGCGGCCATTGGCGCAGCTGGCGCCGCGCGGGGCTGCGAGTGGGACGGCTCGGGCAGCCAGGGTGCCTGGGCAACAAAAAGCTGCGGAAGGAGAAGGCGCCTGCTGCTCCGTGCGCTTCGTCGGAATCGACACGAATGCCAAGGAAGCGGTGGACAGGAATCCTTCGGGCGCGTGACCAGGAAGGAGAGGGGGAGAAGGAGCGGAGGATCGGGAGAGCGCACTGGCAAGTGACAGCGGCAAGGCGGCGTTGCGTTGAAGCCCCTGGCGGCCCCAAACGGCCACCGCTCTCGCCTCTCTCGCCCGAGAGGCAGCTCGGCTGCATGGAGCGCCCCATCGGCGATCGAAAGGGCTTCGGAGGGGTGGAAAGATCAAAGCTCCGGGAGGCGGAGGGAAGCGACAGAAGGAGGGGCAGCGGCGGAGGGGGTGGACCAGGCCATGGAGCTGAAGGGTGGAGAGAAGCAGGAGGAGGGAGCGGCTGAGGGCGGCTACCCTCCTCCCCTCTGCCCCATCTGCTCCTCCACTCCTCCCTCCAGCCCGCCCCCTCCTCTCTTTCGCTCGTCCTCCCATCCTACCCCCCCTCCGCTGCACCCAGCCCATCCCGCCCACTCCACTGCCCCGCCACGAGCCTGACGACCGTACCACACGCTCCCATGGCGACGCGGCGCCGACGGCCACGCACACGACGGCGATGACGACGGGGGCGGCCGCGAAGGACGCGCCGGCGCCGGCGACAGCGAGGGTGGCTGCGGCAGCGGCGGCGGCGTGGCGGCGGCGGCGTCCTGCGCGCGCCCGCCGCGCCGCCCCGAGGCGGCGCGCTCCCGGTGGCCGCGTCGCAGCCCCCGGGCGACGGTGCGCCTCTCGGGCGCCGCCGCCGGCGTCGCCGGCGTGCTGGTCGCCACTGCCGCCGTCGCTGCCGTCGCCGCCGTGGCTGGATCCGCCTGAGGTCATCCCGGTCAGCGTGCTCAACAGGAGAGGTCGGTGGGTCGTCCACGTCGCCGCCGCCGTCACCGTCGTGGTCGGTGTCATGGCCGCCGCCGTCGCCGCCGCCGCCCTTGTTGACGTCGTCGCCCTTGTCCTTGTCGCGGCCGATAATCAATTTCTTATCCTTTTCCTCCGCCTCCTCCTCCTCCTCCTCCTCCTCCTCCCTCCTCCTCCTCCTCCTCTCCTGCTCCTCCTCCTCTCCTTCTCCTCCCGTCCTCCCGTCCTCCCTCCCTCCCTCCCTCCCTCCCTCCTTGCCTGCTCCTCCTCCTCATTTCCCTCCTCCTCCTCATCATCATCATCCTCATCACCACCACCACCACCACCACCACCACCACCACCATCATCATCATCATCATCATCATCATCATCATCATCAGCATCATCATCATCATCATCATCATCATCATCATCATCAACATCAACATCATCAGCATCAGCAGCAGCAGCATCGTCATCATCAGCATCATCATCAGCATCATCAGCATCATCACCAGCATCATCATCACCATCACCATCAACATCACCAACAACATCACCATCATCATTATCAGCATCATCATCCGTTTCCTTTTCCTCTTCGTCCTCCTGCTCGAAGAAAAAGAATTTCGAAGAAACACACATTGGAAGTTCCTTCGTCGCCACGGCCGCCTCAACCGAAAAATCATGCTCAGAATGCGCCCTAGGGGGTCGAGGAGACTGTCGCCGTCGCAGTCGTCGTTGTCGTCGTCGCCGCCGTCGCCGCAGTCTTCGTTGCCCTCGTCGGCAACACCGTCGCCGTCCTGGGTGTCGTCGTCATCGTCCTTGTTCTCGTGCGGGGGCTGGGGCAGCACAAACGCTCCCCAAACACATTTCCAAACCCTCCAGTGTTGGGTTCTCGTTTTGACTAGAGCACTGCAGTCGCGCACCTTCTTCTAACCTTCACTTTCCTCCCTCCCTCCTCCTGCCTCCTCCTCATGCCTCCTGCTGCGCTGCTCCCTGGGTGGCTGCGAACTGCGCAACTGTCGCCACTTTCGTGGGCTCCTGGGAGGCACGGCGGGGTCGGGGAGGAAACGAACATTTGAAACCTCGCAGCTCCCTGGGTGGCTGCGAACTGCGCAACTGTCGCCATTTTCGTGGCCTCCTGGAAGGCACGGCGAAGTCGTGGAGTACGCGGACCCAGCCGAGACCTCGCAGCTCCCAGGTCGGCTGCGAACTGCGCAACTGTTGCCACTTTCGTGGGCTCCTGGAAGGCACGGCGGAGTCGGGGAGTACACGGACCCAGCCGGGACCTCACAGCGCGAAATGTTCAACTGTTGCCATTTTCGTTGGCTCCCGGAAGGCACGGAGGAGTCGGGGAGTACACGACCCAACCAAGACCTCGCAGCTCCCAGGGTGGCTGCGAACTGTGCAAATGTCGCCACTTTCGGGGGCTCCTGGGAGGCACGGCGGAGTCGGGGAGTAAACGGATCATTCGAGACCGCGCAACTGCCTGTTTGGCTGCGAACTGCAAACTCTCGCCACTTTCGTGGGCTCCTGGGGGGACGGCGGAATCAGGGAGTCAACGGACCATGTGGGACCACGCAGCTGCCTGGGAAGTTGCTCCCGGAGTGGCTGCGAGCTGCGCAACTGTCGCCACTTTCGTGGGCTCCTGGGGGGCAGGATGGAAAAAAAGGGCGTACACTCACCCAGTCGGGCCTTCGCTGCTCCCTGGGCGGCTGCGAGCCGCGCAGCCTGGCGCCGCTTGCGTGGGCCCGTGGGAGGTCCAGCGGAGTCGGGGGCAACGCTCGCCCAGCCGACACCTCGGTGCGGCAGGCCAGACCTCGCAGCTCCCCGGGGCGGCTGCGGACTGCGCAGCTGGCGCCACGCTCGTGGGTCCCTGCGAGGTCCCCGTGGGTCCCGGGGCCACGCGCGCCCTTTTGAGGGACGTCGCAGCTCCCTGGGTGGCCCCGAACTGCGCAGCTGTCGCCGCGTCTGCTTCTGTGGGCTCCCAGGGGGCAGCACCCAGGAGAGACCTCGCTGCTCCCTGGGTGGCAGCGAACTGCGCAACTGGCGCCCTTTTCGTAGGCTCCTGGGGGGTCCAGCGGAGTCGGGGGCCACATGCACCCAGACGAGACATCGCTGCTCCTTGGGCGCTGCGAACTGCACAACTGTCGCTACTTTCGAAGAGTCCGCGGAGGCACGGCGGAGCTGGGGAGCTACGCGCACCCAGCCGAGACCTCGCAGCTCCCTGGGCGGCTGCGAACTGCGCAATTGGCGCCACGTTAGTGTGCTCCTGGGGGTCCAGCGGAGTCGGGGGCCACGCGCACCCAGAAGAGACCTCGCTGGTCGGTGGGTGGCTCCGAACTGCGCAACTGTCACACTTTCGCAGGCTCCTCGGAGGCACGGCGGAGCCAGG